TTTTTTGTTTTAAGAAGACTTGAGATTTGATCTTGACTTATTCAAATAGGGTATTTTAGTCTTCGTATGACTGCTTTATCATGTTTTCATGTAAACAAAGCTTACATAAGAGCAACATTCTTTGGCTTTCTAATAATAGCCCTCTGTCATCTCTAAATCTTCTTTCCAGCCAGTGGGGCCCCTGATTATCTGCACTCTGTGGTGGCATCAGGAGAGGTTTAGCTGAATTATAAATATATATATGTGTATATATAGCCCAACTGTATTACTGGAAGTCTGTTTTGAGAATCATTTGATGAGGGCTATTAAATGTAACAGCATGTTTGTGGAGGACACAGTCATATGATGAGTGTTGGATACAATGGAAACAGAAGTTTCTTTGTCACTGTTGGAGGAGCTGAGCTGTGTGAGGTTAGGCTGGGCTGGGCTGGGCTGTAACACTCTTCTGCTGAGCTCCATTTCTTAGTCTCTGGGGAGTTTTACTATAAAAACACACGCAAATAACCTCATGCCTGCCTTTACTTAACTTCCCCCTCACTAAAAGAGAAACTCGAGGTCTCACTTTCATCCTCCATCGGTGTCATCGCCCTTTATGTTTTAACAATTAGGTAGTCATATCTCACTGTAGGTAGGTGATTGATTTAGCAGCCCATCAGTCAGCAGCGATGGCGGTCCATATGTCAGTTTGCCTTATCATACCATGTCCTACTGTTTCTGCTCAGAGGAGGGTTCTCTGGAAATTCTCTCAATCCTCATGCAGCTCTCGGTATAAATAGTTGCATATTGATCACACGGTAACCTTGTGTTGCTCAGGAGCTGTCCAGAGTCAAGGGAGAGGTTATGTAATGTTCCTGGCCTGCCATCATGTGAAAGGCTTGTTGAAAGGACAGAAATAGTACTCTTCACCCAACGAGAGAGAAAAAATAACACCGACTTGGACGTGAGTGTGTATGAATATTAGCTACACTCCCATGTCTTGATATCGGGACACATTAACTGTGTATGTTGTAAAAGTAGGACTGCTCTGATTCTTATCAGCTCTTTTATTAATAGACTTCTAAGTCTTCAAGCCAAGTCAAATAAGCAAATACTGATGTCTTTCCCCTTTCAGTCTAAACCAGCTTCCTGAAGTTTTCTCTTCCCTTTCTCCAGAAACTGATGAAATAACCTTTTGTTTTTATATTTGAAATTAATATCTTGTGGTGTAGTAACATGAATTTACCTGAACCGTGACAGCCATGTTGGTTAAATGTGTGTCTTCTTGTCTGTGTTCTGTTCCAGGGCTGTGTGTGAAGTGTAATAAGGCAGTGCATGGAGCCAATCAAGCCTGCCAGGCTATGGGTAGCCTCTACCATGACAACTGCTTCACTTGCAGCGCCTGTAGTAAGTACACACAAACTCCCGTGTGCCGCATACTCTCACTTTTGCTCCCATTTAAACACTTTTCTCCACACATAAAGCTGCTGTCACCTCCTAACTAACAGGCTGCCAAAGAAGCTCTACTCTTGAATCAAAGTGGTACCTTCTTCTTCGCTCATTCACTGCCCCCAAGCAAAAACATGCAATTATTTAGGGATTACTGTCCTCTGCTGCTAGTGTTTGGTTTCTGGGTGTGCCAGTCACTCGTTCAGCCCAGACAAAGGCATACTAAAAGTCTTTTTGCCGGCCTAATTCATCTGTCTTTCAACAAGCTAGCTTTTCGAATAATACTTAGTGTCTCTCTGAGTGTTTTTAAGGAGTTCAACTCTTAAACCCACATCCACACTTGGGAGGAATGTGTGCTTTGTGGCACATGGACGGAAACAAGAGTGGCTTGTTTCACACTGGACCGGTTGGCTACAGGGTTTATTTGTTCAAAGATGCTTTGGCATCGACTTCAAAAACTAAATCGCTCATTTGTTTGTGTGTTTCTTTAAATATTGCTTACCGGGGGCAGATGCATTTTTTCAACTTTGAGTTTAAATGAAAAGTGTGGGAACGGCCGCACGTATAGATCCTGTGGATTCTATCAACGTTGTGCTAAATAATGTTTAAAGGGTTTAGTTTACTTTGTCGCTTTCGACCTATTACTTATGGTTTGTGGTTGACCTGTAGCTAGATGTTAATTTCCTTCCCCCACTAAAGCATGACCTCACTCATGGCTTCAACCATTAAAATCTCTGTCCCAATTATCAGATCATGGGTATGCAGGGTATTTGTGGCACTCTGGAGATCTCTGCCAAGGCTCATTATTCTGTACCACCGCTGACCTTTCTGGTTATACACTCAAATGTGTAATTAACACCTCTATTTCCCTTTACCCTCCGTCATGTTTGTTTGTGAGGAAAATGGTGTAGCTGAATTATAATAAGAGATGCATAATATTGCTGGGTTTAGCAGTATCTTGTAGTCCTGATTTCAGACATGGATCTCATTAATTTTTATGTTCCTTCAGACATGTATGTAACAGTATGGATTTAAAGGAGCTGCCAAAAATGCATCAGAAACGAACGCAAGTTGCAAATTAGAAACAGTGCATGAGATAAGATTTTATCTGTTAATGTGTTAAAATATAACAAATCATGTTTTTAAGGAACTGAGCATTTCAAAGTAAGTAAGAGAGATGGGCACAGTCCTAATATAGCTTTACCTAGTAACATTTATACTAGTAAGAAGTGACAACGCCGCTCATTCAGGCATGAAGACGATTAACGGAAAGGACTGCATGTCTCTAAGGGTTTACATGGTGGCTCAGAGTGTAGCTGATTCCTGAAGTGGTGGGAGAAAGTTTACACAGCACATACCTCTCATGGCTTGTTACAAGCGAGGGCATTAGGGTTGTGTTTGCTCCGAGCGGCCCCAGGGGAAAGCATCTCATCTGGGGAGGAATGCAGGCATGGGGGCCCTCTGTAGCCCCAGCTCCAGGAGGACAGTAGGCGCTGTTGTGTTAGCTGGGAGTACAGTGTGAGACAGGGAGACCATTTACCACGCAATACAGAGCCAGCACACAGGAACATAATGAAAAATATAAATGCATATGTAATACTTGCTGCATAATAGAGTCAGCTACTCAGTACTCATGTATTAAGCATTGCCCCTTTTTTTTTTAAATTTTTTCTCCTGTCTCCAAAATGTGTGTGTCAGCATAACTGCTACATGTGTTGAGTTGCATAAGATTTTATGACCATGAACCTCCTTCCAGGCTTTCAGTCTACCAATACACACACACACACACACACACACACACACACACACACACACACACAC